CTCTATTGATAATGTTGAGTTGATTACCTGCTGCAATATAACAACACTCCTTCTATAGAGGTAATCCTTTAATCAGTCCGGTACACAAAGTTTGCTAACAGTTGCAAAACTTACAATAACTCACAGCACTTTCTAACAGCCAGTTTCCAAAAACACTCAGATCAGATCAGCCCAGCATCTAATGAACAGAGAGCTAACAGTCGTTCTGACTCCCTCTTATGACCGATTGGGGACAACAGCAACCAATCACATTTTACAGTATGATTTAAGGAAACAGGTACAACATTGTTACTTTATTTATATATTGCCAACCCAACCGTTAGATTATATTCCTAACACAGAGGCTGAACAAAGAATCAACACTTACCTCTGTCATCAGAGTTGCGGTTTCCTTTGGCTCTGCACATGTGACAAACTTAAGGGAGTTCAGCTTTACTGGTATCTTTACTTAACCTAGGACTATAATTCTCAGAAATCTCCAGGAGCTGGAAGATTCCAGTGACCGTACCTGCAGGGAATTCTGGGTATTGTAGTCTTGACATGCCTGAATAAAGATGGAAAGGTTGTCTTACAGCTTCTAAGTATCTGGGCAGATCAGCAGACATAGGACATAAGATACCAGAATATCAGACATCTTCTCTTGGTGTTGCTTTTAGTAGAAGTAACATTTCTGGTGGGAGGAGTGATACATTTCTTTTTCTACCTCATGCCTATGGAGGAAGTCTCAAAACGTATTTGAAAAAACAGTTGCCAAGTTATAAAATGAACAGAAGAGAGGAAATGTTGAATTTCCTTCCTGCCCTGAGTCAGCATTGCCAGGTAAATCAGACAGGAAAACATAACCAGAGAAGTTAATTCTACTTTATTGTAAAGAAACATCAACAGAGTCTGCAAGTCTGAAAGTACAATTCTGCTGTCATCCTTGCAGCCTGAGAAAGTTTGCACAGTCCCTTCTGAGTTTCTTGCTCTGCACACTCTCCAGCTGCAGGCTATGCTGCCTCTTATCTGATCATTCCCTAAGTATCATCGCTTCACCCCATCTCCAAAGGTTTTCCCCCCCATACCCATTACACTGTGATTGATAGATCAATTGATTATGTAACTTGATGGCATTTTCTACCCCTAGTAACCATATCACCTGGCATGACAAAAATCCAAATAGCGCAATCTTGGAATGTGCTGGAATCTCTAGTATGTATATACTGTTGAAACAGCGATGTCTACAGTGGCTTGGACATGTTGTGAGAATGGCTGATGGTTGGATTCCAAAAGATCTCCTGTATGGAGAATTAGTGCAGGGAAAGTGCCCCAGAGGGAGACCACAACTGCGATATAAGGGTATATCTGCAAGAGGGATCTAAAGGCCTTAGGCATTGACATAAACAGCTCGGAAAACTTGACCTCTGATTAGTCAAGCTTGGAGGCTAAAGACACAGCATGGCCTTCTCCAATTTGAAGAGACACTTGTTTGGCGGGCTGAGGCAAAGAGACAATTCCAGAACCAGAACCTGGGGGCTAGGCAGGGGACAGAATATATCTGCCCTTAGTGTGGAAGGTATTGCCACTCCCGAATTGGACTTTTTAGCCACACCAGATGCTGCATTAGGACCTCTTTCCAGACCTCGATACCATAGTCTTTTGAGACTGAAGGATGCCAATATAGTAACCACATAGATGTCCTGACTCCTAACGACCACATTCCTGTGCTGATTCCTTCCTAAACACCCTTCTTGTGTTTTACAGCTGTTGTGACCACAGCCACAACTGTGGTACAGATGCCTTACCCTCAGCAGCCTGGGGTACCAGTTGCTTATGCTGGAGGACCATACCAAGGATACAATCCACTGCCGGTACAGCCGCAGCCTGGAATGCCAGCAGCACCCTACCCAACCCAGTACCCTCCACCCTATCCTACGCAACCTATGAGGCCACCGCCATACCAGGAAACAGTGCCAGGTAAGGAAAGAAGAGGAGAGCGATGTACTGAAACTGCTAGAAAGAAAAGGAAATAAATAGTAGTCTTTCTTTTCAAAATATGTCCAGCCTCAAATTATAAATTCATATTTCCTATCTTGGGGAACTTGGCTTCTTTAATACAAATAAACTATCACTTTTGTTTAAATTCTTCTGAGGCTATCAGGTTGAAATCCCTTTTTACGGATGATTTTATTCCACTGGGGGGGGGCACCTTTCCTAAAGAACAGAGCTGAGTAATGAGCCACAATATGCTAGAAATTCCCTCTTAAACATCTGCCTCCAGTACTGGCCAAAATGCTTGCAGGTTGGATGACTTCAACCCAGGGTGCAGAATTCAGCAGATACTGAAGTGTCTCTGCCTGGAAGAACTTTGGTTTATGAGAAGGTGGCTTTAGGGCAGATTGCTTTGACTCATGCTACAGGATAGGTTTGATGCACTCCATAGTCTTCCTAGTGTTTGCTGAGACATCCCAGCCTAGAAGGACTTTGACCAGCACTGCAGAGGATAGACTTCTCTTAGTCTTTTCCCATAGAGCAATCTTTGCTTCATGAAAGATCTTCAAGGAGGTGCTTTGTTTGTCCTTCATCAAAGGGCAGACCTCCTTCAAGGATTTGAAAAGGCCTAGCAATGTCATTTCTTACACAATGCTTATCAGGAAACCAGAGACTATACTTTACGTATAAATCTCTATAGGGTAATGCAGATGTGGTGAAGAAGAAAGAAGCAACAACCTAACTTTTCAGATACAAGTTGTCTTCAAGTTACGACCACAGCTGGGGCCATAATTTCCATTACTAAGTAAGGTGATTGTTAAGTGAGTCACATCCAAATTTATGACCTTTTTGCCACAGTTGTTAAGTGAATTACTACAGTTGTTAAGTAAATGATTCCCTCCATTGTTGAAAGCTAACTGGGAAGGTTACAAATGGTAATCATATGACCCCAGGACACTGCAACCATCATAAATGCATGCCAGTTGCCAAATGTCCGAATTTTGATCATGTGAACATGGTACTCTCTGATAGTCATAAATTCAAGGGCTGGTTGTAAGTCACTTTTTTCAGTGCAGTTACAACTTCAAATAGTTGCTAAACAAATGTGATTCAAGGACTACCTCTATAGAAGGAGTGTTGTTATATTGCAGCAGGTAATCAACTCAACATTATCAATAGAGAAGAAGATCTAGATGGAGATTAAGGAGACATTTTGGCCCAACAAGGAAGGCTTCTTTTCCTAGTATAGGAATAAGGCTTCAACGTACAGATTTTACAGAGCACTCCAAGTAATGTGTTTGCTTTGTTTTCTATGATGGAAGAACAAAGGTATCCCATGGACACTCAGTCACTTTTATACGGTTCATTCTGCAATTTAATTTTCAGAATTTAAAGATCAGGCTAGAGATCTTCCTTGATTTCATAACTACTGTATGTGGGTACTAGCAGGTGAATCTAAGAAATATGCAGAAATAAATAAAAAAAGATAACGTAAGATGCTAACCTGTTGTACTTGTCTGCTTGTTTTTTGTTTTTTTTTACAGTTGGTGCCTCAGCTCCAGCTCAACCCCCTTATAATCCAGCATATATGGATCCTCCAAAGGCTTCCTATTAAATTGACTTTTGCTGTTGTGTATCTGCCTGGAAGCCTCTTCAAATTGCCTTTTTCACATGGAGTTCTTTCTGAAGATGATATTCTGATAACTGTGGGTCACAGTTTAGACAACTTTATTTACAGCGCATTGAGAAGTGCAAGTAATTCAAGCAATTAAAAGATGATTTTTTTGGGGGGGGGAAGGGGGAACTAAGAAAGAACTTAAAAAGTAAGCATCAGGAATATAAATTGGACTAAACAGGGACAGTCATTTGAGGGATTATTTTGGCATTATTTCATCAAAATCAATTTAAAATGGGCTAATCTCTTCCCAGCTTAGTATGGAAGAATAGCATCTGCTGTGAAACAGACTATGTTTTCTAAGTAATAAGGAAATAGCTCTTTAGCAAGAAATGGGGCATGTTGGTCAATAATCCCCTTGTTTTTGTTCATTACGCAACAGTTCCATAGTCTTTCAGTATCACAGTGCAAATTTTTGAATTTCATTGGAGTTTCGTCACTATATTATATATAAATAGTGTGTGTATATATATATACATACATACATACATACATACATACATACATACATACATACATACATACATACATA